CCCCCCAGCCCCACTCTCACTTTACTAAACCCCTCTCTGTTCACACTTAAATTCACTCACTTATTCTGACATGCACGCACACACACGCACACTGTCTCTCTCTTTCCCTCCTTCTCGGCTCATCAGTATTCATGACGCCTTCCTCTCTTCCTGTTCTCTTGTTTTTGCCTTGGCTCAAACCGTCTCCCACAGAAACAGGGAGAGTGAAAAGGGGAGAGAAGGCAAAGGAGGAATGGAGTGGAGAGATATAAGAAGAAGGGAAGAAGGAGGAGAGATAAAGACACAGAGGCATGGAGAGTGTGTTTAGCTGTGTATGTAATTGGCCAATAAAAAATAGGGTCCTCAGAGGTAAACAGTTTAGCAGTCGGGGATTGGCCCCAGCAGGAAGCAGGGAGAGAAGATTATGAATATGCAAATGAGTATGCAAAAGACATTAAAGCAGGTTCACCTGAGCTTGTTACATTATGACTCCAGGGTCTGAGATGTCAGTGACGATGGCTAACACATTCAACACCATGCATTCTGATTGAACCGGATAATAGGGCCAGCCAACCAGCTGCGGCTATTTTTACATACTCCTCTCAAAGGCGGAGGGAGTGATGATGAATTAAGAGTGGAAAGCGATGGGATCATTTTGTAGAAAGGTTTTCAACATGTATTGGCGGGGGAACCAGCAAAAGTATAACCACGCAGTAACATACTTTGTCATGTTTAAATCTGATTCATTCAGCATCAGATTGCCTTTCCCTCCACCCACCTCATGTGTTTTCTCCTTGTCAATCATCCTCCTTTTTTCTCTTTCTACCCACCTCACCCTCCTCTGTCGTCATCTCTCTCTTCCTTCTCCATATCTCTTTTTCTCTCTCTCTCTGTGGATCATGTGCAGATGCAACTATCCTGTCGTACGACGGCAGTAAGTTTATGAAGGTGCAGTTGCCTGTGGTGATGCACACCGAGGCGGAGGACGTCTCGCTGCGCTTTCGCTCCCAGCGGGCCTATGGCGTTCTCATGGCAACCACTTCCCGTAATTCCGCAGATACCCTTCGTTTGGAGCTGGATGGGGCCCGTGTCCGACTTACTGTCAACCTAGGTACACAGATGCTCACAAACACATAGAATCTCAAGCATTACTTTAATTACCTGTCATGGGAATGCAGCTGATACTGGCCTCTTGGTAATTTCTTGCATAGAAATGTCATTAACTGTTGATTAATAACTTTTTGTCCCGGTAAACTCAAAGGAGCCCTATTATGCTTTTCTTATTTTCTGTCATATATACATATATACTGTTGCGATGGCCAAAATTTAGTGCTCACCGTTACTCTAGTGTGAGCACAGAAGCCCTACCTGACTGCTTTTGTTTGTGAGGGGCAGCCAATCAAAAGAAAGTTTTTTGAAGAGAAGGAGAAGAGAGTGAAAATTAATTGTTTTGGGAAATGGGTAAACCGGGGACTGTGCAAAAGTTGAGTATTAGATAAAGGAACACAAATTTGAAATATGAATCATGCAGAACTCATTCACTACCTAGAGTAATGGAAAAGTAGAGCACCAGAGTCCGAGGCTAAAAATATATAGCTGGAAATGAGCATGAGATGTCCCTTTTAAATTAGAATTCTCAGTAATTCCAATAAATATTTCAGCTAATTTTGCTGCAAGTATGCACAAGAGATGGATTTCACTGCTTCAGCAGATATGTTGCACAGATTACATGCACACATGCAAATATAAACAGCTAAAGGTTATTGGTTTTGTGTTGAACAGAGGGTCAAGCCTCAAGCTGCATTCTCTGCTCACTCCCAGCAGACCTGTGCATCCCCAACACCTTCAACAAACAACACAAACGCACACGCACATGAATACTTTGCACATTTCGCAGCCTGAGATAACTGCTAAGCACTTTTTCAGCCTCATTTTTTCCACAGCCACACACTTTCACGTGAATTCATTTACATGCTAACACACACATCCTTACAGAGGGGTGCATGTGTTGGTCTCTGGTTGTCTGCAGCCACGTCTTTTCTGTGGTTGACGCCACTCGACACACCAAGGCATCATGGGGTTTTTAAAAAAAAAAAAGGTACAGGGGCTGAATCTTCCAACCATTTATGGAGATTCGCGCTCTGGATAGGCGACAAAAATTATGGGATGTGTTCAGAGTCGTTAGACAAAACTGACACACATAACCCATCACAGTCTACCCACGCTTTTTATTGGTGACTGAAGCTGTCGCTCAGGCCAGAGCAGCCAATGACCACACCAGTCATGCTGTGACACACCGCTCTCTTTATTGTGCTCAAGGTAAAAATCCATCAGTCTTTATTCAGATTTTTCCTTTTATTGGCTACAAAATAAAAATCGAAGAAACTGCATTTGCTGCACATTGTCCAGGTCCAGCTTGTGGTCCTGTGACAAACGAGGGGCGTGTGTTTTCTCAGCATTGTGTGCGTGTTTGTATATGTATGCAGGGTGTGTCGATGTGTGCATCCCCAGGGCGTGGAGAGTATGTGTATGTGTGCAGCATTAACCCTCTGCTCTGCTCTCCCTCCAGACTGTATCAGGATAAACTGTACAGCCAGTAAGTGATCCTCCATCTCACCTAACTCCCCCCCCCCCCTTTCCTCTACCTCCTCAGAACGTGTGTGCGCCGTTGTGTGTATGTGCTTTTATAAATGTGTGTGGCTGTTTTTCACTCTGTGTATCATGTCAGTTCATTTAATCTTCTTTCAACATATTTTTGTACCATTTGTCTATGTGCAGATATGTGTGTGTGTGTGTGTGCATGTGTGTATGTGTTTGACGGGGGAGGTGCACATATGCGTGCGATGTTCAGCTACACTGCAGGAGAGGTGCGATTTTTGCTGAGGGCCAGGGTTTTCCAGGTCGGCCATTTTAGCAAAGAGGGATCGATGGCAGAGAGAGAGAATGAGAGAGGATGGTGGGGGTTGAAGGAAGGAGAAAATAAAAGAAAAAGGAGAAGAAGAAACCCGGGCATGAGGTGTTTAAGTAAAATTAGGTGTGCTGATAAATAAGAGGTACGGAAGTAGAGAGTGGAAGCTGGTGGATGAATACAACTTAGAGCTTCAGGGTAATTACTTCTCCTTCATGCCGGAGACAAAAGACGTGTTATCCCTCTGTTTCTCTCTGTCGCACCTTCATCCCGACGTCTGTCGGGTTGTTTTCTTTGTTTGCTTGTTGTTTCTTTCTAAACTGTACATGAGGGATTTTTGGGTAGTGTTTCATTTAGTGGGTTTTGGCGTGTGTGCTTGTGTGAGTGTCTTTGCATTCTGTAGTCTTTTCATTGCCCATCTGTGTGTCTGTGTGTGTGTGTGTGTTTTCTTTGGTGTGTGTTCCTGTTCATGCTGCTGTGAGTGGAGCTGAATCCCTGATGAAGTTTAATTCCCTCACGTGGAGTTTCTCTCTGTCACGACCACAGAGAAAGCAGGAGAGTGAGAGAGAGCGAAAGAAGCGGATGCTCTGTGACGGCAAAGAGGTGGTGAAATGGACGACTGCTGTTGCCATAGAAACCCTCCTAGCCACACAGCACTGTTGCTATTCCGCATGTCTGCTGGCCAATTTTAGACCAGTTGTCTCAATGAACATTTCAGTAGGCAGCCACTTTTCTGGCACACCGTGTGCATACAATAAATTATACATATGATATTCAAGGGGGAAGGGGGGAAATGTATTTAACAGGCAGGCGCCAGTGAAATAGTCCACTCAGCAGTCAAATAAAAGCCTCGGCATGGGAGAGATTTGAGGCGTATCCTTCAGAAAAGCCATTTGTTATTTGGAGCTAATGAAATATGAAACACTTTTTTTTGTTTTGTTTTCATTGTCCTGCTTTTATAATGTCTCGCATGTCATTTGGCTTGAATTATGTTTTCCAAGCAACAATCAGCCTCCCTTATGTTTTTTTTGTTTGAGTCATTTCTCATCTTTTGCTTTAACCTCACAGGCTGTTTGCTGACCGCCACAGCCTTCACTAGTAACTCACTGAATGGCTTTTTAACGCTGACCCAGAATAGGTGCGTGTGTGTGTGTGTGTGTGTGTGGGTGTGGGTGTGGGTGCATTTGTCTCTCCCTCCCAGGTTAACACAGATCACTGCTTCACTGTCACATCAGTCTGCTTGTTTTTTGAGTATTCAGTTACTACTCAAAAAAGTCCACGCATACACACATGATAAACTCGCACATACATGCACATACTCTTTCCCTCACTCAGTGCAAGGCAATGATCCATGGTAACAGGATGAGATGCTCATGCCCAGAGCACAGCTGAGTCTCCTCAGGGGAACCCTCTGTGCTCTCCGAGTGCACCAACACACTCTTTTAGCTTCACAATTGCACACACACACATTTCACACCACATCCATTTTGATTGACTTAATTAGGATTACGTGTCGGCAGCCTGTACATCTACATTTCTTTACCTCTCTACCTGTGTTCATATGTGTGTGTGACTGTGTGGGACCGTATGTGTGTGCCTCCGTGATTGATGTCGGCATGCTTGACATTTTCTGCAGCAGAATTCGTTCGGGTCAGTTTGCTTCTCACCTCCCCCGTCATTACCGCCTATAGGTCACTGTAAGCAGACTCTCAAAGCAAGTAGAGGGAAGGGGAGTATGTGTAAGTGTATCCCTGTGTGTGTTGGGAGGTAGTGGGAGTTGCGCTCAAGGTTGGTGGGGTGCTTGTAAAGAGTAGAAGCAAGGGGACACTGAGGATTGGGGAACAGTCAGCCTGTCAAATGTGTGCAGTCAACTATGTGAAGATATGAGCTGGTAGATGAGCAAAGAGAGAGAGAGACATCACGAGAGGACAGCTCAGCTTCTTTCATTCTGCAGCACATCAGCACCTTGGAGAGCACGCTGATGTTCCACTGTGTGTCTAGTGCCACCATGAGGCTGACTGCAGCATTGCATAAGCAAATCTCCTACATTCAGGCACCTGAACAAGTATAAGTGTGGAGGCGAGAGGGCTGTTGGGTGGTCAAGGGGGTCTGAATTTGCTGTCTGTGCATGTGTGGGTTGTAGGAGAACGTCATGGCGGTGCGATCTGTCCACAGATGGATTGTCTCAGCGTGGGCCTGTTGTGACTCACAGTCTCCAGTCTTAGACACCCCCAACATCCATTTATGTTAATCCTTCTGTCTGTCTGTGTCACGTCATCTGTCTCTCTTGTAAATCTGCAAAGAAGCCTGTCTGTCTATATGTCTGTTTGTCTGGAAAGAGTGCGTTAACACTGAGGTGTTTGTCTCCCCAGGGTATGAATGGCTCCTTCCCCTGCTACTATTAGCTTCCATTTTCTCAGTTTCTGTCCTTAATTTTTTACTCAAACTACCTGGCTCTCTTCTTCTCCTTCTTCTGGTTCTTTCTCTGTATCTGTTTCTCTTTCTGTCTCTCTCCTCATCTTTATGCAATATGTTAATGGTGCTCTGGGCTATGTGTAGGTAAAGGCCCAGAGACCATCTTTGCTGGGTCAAACCTCAATGATAATGAGTGGCACACGGTGAGGGTAGTCCGGCGTGGCAAGAGCCTCAAACTCACCGTGGACGACCTGCAGCCTGCTGAAGGTAACCACAGCAGCCTGACTTATTTTTTGTTTTCTCCCCATAAAATGACACTTTTTCCAGGTCTTAAGTTGGAGTGTAGACATCCACTTGAATTCTGTGTTGAACATTAAGCGGTTTATTTCTTTTTTAGAGAGCATCTGTACCTGAAAGCAATCATACTGAATTGTGATTGTGGTCATGATAGTGTCTACTTTAGTATTAGTCTGTCTTTTATTCATAGTGAGGATGTTGAATAAATAATATTTTTAGTTTTAGTGTTGAACAGTTCCACCTGAAACCCACCTTTCCAAAGCCCTCACCTCTTAAGTTTACCCCGCCACCAGGTCAGATGGCGGGTGACCACACCCAGCTGGAGTTCCATAATGTGGAGACGGGCATTGTGACCGAGAAACGCTTCATGCCTGCCGTGCCCTCCAATTTCATCGGCCACCTTCAGGGCCTGACGCTGAACGGCATGCCCTACATTGACCTGTGCAAGAACGGCGACATTGACTACTGCGAGCTCAATGCTGTTATCGGTTATAAGAGCATTGTGGCCGACCCCGTCACCTTCCGATCCCGCTCCAGTTTTGTCACCCTGCCCACGCTGCAGGCCTATTACTCCATGCATCTCTTCATGCAGTTCAAGACGACGTCCCCAGACGGTCTTATCCTCTTCAACAGAGGAGACGGCAATGACTTCATAGTGGTAGAGCTGGTTAAAGGGTGAGCTGGACAATAAGTTGTGTGTGATTTACCTTAAGTCAGTCATCGTCAAATAAAATATAAAATATTACTCATAAAAGGCAGTTTTACTTGTTCATGTTAATGTTTGTCCTGCAGAAATTTATAATTTACTATTAAGATCATCCTCGATGAACAAAAAAATAAAAATTTCTTGACTTTAAGGTTGAAATGGGCTGTTAAGTGTACGATATGAAAAATGCACAAGTCACGCAGCTCTTTTTTATTCTTGTAATTAAGCTTCTAAAAGACAGATAATAATGCCCTGGAGCGGATGACCCTGTGTTGTTCTTCATCACAAGTACGATTAATTTCCCTTTCACTTTTAATCAGTTATTTAATCCCCTCCCCTCTCTTTTTCTTTTTCCTTCTCTAGCTACCTTCACTACATCTCTGACTTGGGAAACGGAGCACACCTCATTAAGGGCAACTCTAACAGTCCTCTTAATGACAACCACTGGCACAACGTGCACATATCCAGAGACACTAACAATCTCCACACAGTCAAGATTGACACCAAAGTCACCACACAGACCACCATGGGTGCCAAGAACCTTGACCTAAAGGGTACGCAAAAATAAAGGCATTCAAAGTTAGGTACAGAAGCTGACACGAGATAAATCTTAATTATCTGCATCATTAATGAGACCGTATACCGTAATACGCGCACCTCTTTTTGTTTTAAACACAAACTAGCTGTTTTTTGTGGAGGTTGTGTGCCAGACTACTTCTGAGTCAATGAAGTTGGAGGTGTTGTTACCTTGAGCAGAACGAGGCTAGCCGTATCTCCCTGTTTCCAGCCTTTGTAGTAAACAAAGTTCAGTCAGACAGCTCACGTTTAAACTGATTTGTTACAGCAGCAGCATGCCGCTTGGCAGACATTCTCTGAGCTCATCACTCCATTGAATATGTTAAATATAAAATTGGGAAGTGATGAGTAAACATCCCCCCGGAGTCTACAGGTGGATGCTGGGATGGTGAAGGGATTGCAAACAGCAGACAGTGATGTAGGGCAGTAGTGGCACTGACATGTCAGAGGGAAAGGTAAGAAATTTTGTAGCTTAAATAGACTACCAAATTGGGAGGGTGTGTTTGGTATATGATGTGAGGAGAGTTGTGTTTCGTGTACATGAGGCAGCGCAGATCCAGTAGTCTGCCCGAACCAGCTTCTGGAGGTAGCTACTTATTACCATACAGATATGAGAGTAGTGTCTTTTATTATTCTAACTCTAATTAAGAAAGCAATTAAACACTTTTATAAAAAAAAATTAAAGGGTAAAAACATGCAAAAACAATTAACCTAGTGTAATTTATCAAGCTAAATTAGATTGGTACTATATATAACTAACTGACTAACTGAAGATATTTGGCTGAGCTCACTGAACTTGTGACAACACTGCTATGTGATTAGATCAATTAGTTGATAAAGTAATTTATAATTTATTGCAATTAAATTATTGATGCAGTCATGCAAAACTAGACAGTTCATGTTTGCTTTGTGAAGCTGCCATTCACTATATTGCTCCTCGACAGGTGATCTGTACATCGGGGGCGTTTCCAAAGAGATGTACCGAGACCTGCCTAAGCTTGTCCACTCCCGTGAGGGATTTCAGGGTTGCTTAGCAACAGTCGATCTAAACGGACGGCTCCCGGACCTTTTGGCTGATGCCTTGGCAACCATGGGACAAGTGGAGAGGGGCTGTGAAGGTGAGGTGCAGACAAAACGGCAGATCTGCTCCAGCCCCGTGTCCCAACTGCTTTTTCTTTCAGTTTTCATTTAAATCATACTCTCTGTTATTAGCATAACCCACTAACCCAGCTCCTGGCCTGTTAGATGTAAACTTTACTCTCTTTCTTTTCATCTCCTCCTCAGTCTTTCTGCACATTGTGTTTTTTCTCTCTGATCCACTCTTTCAGTAGTTCACAGGCATCTGTGTGCATTGACTAACCATCTAACTTAATTTGCTTGTTTGCTTTTTTGTTTGGCTGACAAAAGTTACATTGATGAAAGCTGACTTGCAAGGTATATCGCTTTGTGCGAGCATGTAAGAGACACTTGTGTGTGTGTGATGCTGAGGAAATGTGTGTGCGTGCGTGTGTGTGTGTGTGTGTGTGTGTGTGTGTGTG